AAAAAAAAAAAAAAAAAAAAAAAAAAGCTGCATTTAAGTGGACCCGTGCAGTTCAAACACGTGTTTTATTAGCTTCCTTCTCTGTACGCAACGAATGTGTGTAATCAAAAGGAGCTTAAGCTACAAAATGATACACACCAACAGCACTCAAATGTTCTACTGTTTATCCGTGACTTAGTCTGAATTTAAAAAGAATCCGCTGTCTTTGAAAAAGGATTAAAGAAAACACTTTGCTGTAATCTAGGACAGAGTTGTCTGTCTATCTGTCTGTCTGTCTCTGTCTCTCTCTCTGAGCTGGTTAAGTCTTAATGTAAAGGAAGGTGATGTGCACATCTTCAAAGCCAACAGTCTGAAAGAGGTCATTCCTATCTGGCCAGTAGCATGGCAGGCTGACAGTCCACTGTGGGTGCCCCTCGACGTGAGGCATCATTTGTTTCGATTTCAGTGAAGTATATGAGATGGTACCACTTATATTAGATTGATGGGCAGAACAGAGAGAGGAAAATAGATTGAGAATTGGCCCAGTGACAAGGCAGACCACTCCAAACTGGTCTTGTTAGCTTCACAGCAGATCCTGATTCGCATATCAAGTCCTGGAAGGACCCAAACTCTCCCCATGTTCTGTACATCCTGTTTATGTGCTGTAAACAACAACGACAAAAAGCGTTGTTTTCTTTTTAAGGGGTTCTGGCAAATGATCGGGGCAGGGGTTTACAAATGTAATTGTTGATACGTTTTGCATTGTCTAACTCTAAGCTCGGTCTGAAATATCAAACAGAAGCATCAGTGACTCCAAACACTTTGAAAGAATTCCACAGAGACCCACATTTCCCTTCACACCCGCTCTGGTTGTGTTTTTGTTTTTTTGGCTTAATACAGAGCAAACATACTGCGCCTTCAAAATCATAATAACACAAGAATTGAAGCTCCATATTGTTTAAAAGCAGTGCTGAGATATAAATTCTTCTCTTGATGGTCTTTGCTTATGGAAAGACGATGGGGAATTGTAAACAGCTGCAGGTACAATGGTACTAATGCATCCACTCCTTATACAGACCAGCCCTTGGTGCCCTGAAAAACACCCGATCTCACACTCTTTTTTCTATTAGTGTAAATCTTCTACAAAGTGAGACAACGACAAATTAGACAAAGTACATCAAATCATACGTGGTCTGTAATTTCTATCTCCCCCATTATAGGAAAGTTCTTTTATTCCTTTTGTAAAATCACCATCAGCAACACCACCACCCAGGGTGCACTCAGGCATCTATTCATGGCTTTAAGGATATCTTGTCCCCATGTCCCTCCAGCTGAAGGTGACAGGAGCTTTTAACTCGTCATTTTATTAAGGATTCCTGGTGTTCCCTCTGTCTCAGACATTCACAGCAAGTGAAAATGTTAGGTCTTGGCTCATGAACATTCTTTGGTTCTCAGGAAAGTCAGTCTAGAAATAGTGGCAACGACGAAGGCCAGGACACCCTGAAGCTCTGTGTTTATTCTGTTTCTCTGGGATGGCGGCAGCTGTGTGTCTCAGACACCATCTGCCGAAGGCAAATGCCTAGTTAAGTGTGCTATTCTCGATGTCTTCGCAGTCCACAGCCCTACCCACCTCTCCCCACTTTGCTATCCCCCATGCTGCTTGCTTCACTCTCCACAGGCCTGCAACACAATCACAACACGCTGGGTGGGTCCCCTTGGTGTGGAGCTGTGGCGTCCTAAAGGGTGCTCTCGAGTGGCACGCCTCCCCTGCCCCACGGGCTTACTCCAGAAGTGTTTAGAAGATAATCTCATCCCGTTGATAGAAGGTATATAAATATATAAGCACGTTATCTATGGTGTTTGAAAAGCCCCACAAACCTAAAAAGCATGTAGGTACCTGGACTCTTTGGGGATGAGAAGAAAGCTATGGGTCTTCAGCATTTGCTGAAGATTGAAACCAGACATGTTAAACCTCATTAATTATGGTCTCTACTAATTGGGAATCGGAGACAATTCTTTGGGCTGATATTTATCTTTGCATTATCTCTGGAAAGAAGAAGTTTGCTAAGTAACTAAAGAATAGAAATAACATTGTAATGGTAATGTTTAAACTACTGAAGAGACGATTTCTAAGAACTCTGAGGCCTTTATTTATACAGTAAGAACAAATTATTTTTTGCCTAGTCACTAAAGCCACCTGTCTCCTTCCTGGCTTCCCCATTTCTGCACAGACACTATTCCTCCCAATTCAACTTGCTCATAGCAAAGCTAACCAGTCTCCCAAACCCATGAACTGACCCTTTGTCTGCCTCTCTCACCAACCACTTCCTTTTCTCTTTAAACCCAGGTCCTCATCAATAATGTTGCCTTAGCATTAGAACATCCCCCATTGGACTCCTCTTTCTTGCCACATCTCCAATGATTCAGCAGTCTGCTGCCCACTTGGTCTTCTGAAATTTTCTGTAGGAATCCATGACTCTTATACCTGTGAACCTCAAGATCCTCAACTGTCGCTTTAATGTCTTTGCTTCCAGTACTGCATTTAGCAGAGTACTAGAATAATTGTAGGTCCACACTATCTAGCTGAGACCCCTGGGCTCTGACGTGTTTGGGACTCAGACTTTCTCTTATTTTAGAATGATAATATGATGCCTGAGACATATTTCACATAACACTCCAGTGGGCCTTCATAGTCAAGCACGTTGATATTTCTGTAGCAAAATGTATGAATTTCACCCTTGGTAGTACATAAGGGCTATAAATCGCCTCCCATTAGGTTTTGACACCAAGTAACTTATTAAAAAAATTGCAGTTGGTGGAGCTTTTTGGATTTCAGAATTGTGGGAAAGGGACTGAGGAGCTGTAGTCAGAATACGATGGCCATTTATCACTATCCAGACCTGAAAGAAACATTTTCTTGAAAAGTCTCTGTCCTGCAATCTTTTGTTAATTCAGATTGGTCTTCTCCACAGTTAGCCCAAATTATTGAGGCTGTCCTCACAAAACATGTCTTCAGGTTATGGGAACTTTGTGATTACAAGGTTGTCCTTGTCATTTTTAATTTTTCTAATTTGACTCCATTTCTAAAGCATTTTCAATTAGCTTATTTTTTTTTTTTAAAGTTCCTTGTTAGTTGTCTGTTTTAGCAAAAGGTATTCTCATTTTGCTTGTCCCCTGCCTAAATAAAGGCTCTTGGAAGTATAGACTGATTCTCCCTCAGAATGGTAGATTTACATTTTAAAAATCCCAGTTATGCTGACTTCCCACCCAAAATAAAAGTTAACTTTTTAAGTGAGTTTATCTAATTTGTAATAGGTCTATCCAGCAAACCACACAAACCTCTTCTATACACAGTGAAACATACACTGATATCACTCTTTGAGGTCGAGTTGTAACTTGACCAATAAAACCTTCTTAAAATATAGCCAAGCCAAACATTATTAGGGCAGCAATGCAGGGTTTGGATATACATCACGGGATGCTGGCTGTATGGGTCACAGCACTCTGACAGGCAGTTCCTAGGCAGTTATTTTGACATTAGAAAGTCACAATCCATCAACTTAACAGCAGGGTGATAATTTGGGGACCAGGGAGATGGCTATACAAAATGACACTGTGGGAAGCAAACAGTAGTTCAAATAGCTCCTGTTTGAGAATGAAGACATCAACTAAGCAAAATTTCTCTCCACCTCTAGAACCAGGTATAATGTAATGTGCTTCGGGGGTAGCGTGTTATCTATGGCGTTTGAAAAGCCCTGCAAACCTAAAAAGTATGTAAGTACCTGGATTCTTTGGAGATGAGAAGAAACGGATCTGCCATGACAAGACTAAAGAGTGACAAAGAGTTGCGTTTCCCCCCCAGTTTTGTCACAAACCACTTCCAGTGACCTGTGTGTGCTACCCCAAGCCAGTATTTCCTGAGATGCTTCTTGGCTCTTTCTGAATTGCAAAACACTCAGACTTCCAGCCATCTGTGACACCTGGCTCCTTGGGCGAGTGGGAGACACTTGGGCTTTATCGTTGCAGGGGTTCCTGGCCAATGACCCTGCTGTAAGCCCTTCCTGAACACTCGTGGCCTTGGTCTCCCATGCTCTCCTGGACAAATGAACGGGTGCAGAGGCTGTGGAGAGCTTCTGAAATTTTCTCAGTTGCTGGAACTAAAGTAACAACAGCAGGAAGCTTTCAGGCTGCTGCACTGGGGTTGGGGTGGGAGGTGGGAGGGTGAGGACTATGGGCTACCGTGCAGTGGTTCTCAAGTGTTCTCATCTCATAATAGCTCTGAGAACACACAGACAAGCCCTGAGGGATGGCCATGCAATTGGGAAGGGGACAGAAAACACATCTTGCCTTCTACTCTGGAAAGGAGAGTAGATAATAAATTATGTATTGATGCTGAGATTGCAAAAAAGAACATTAGATGGATATATGCAGATACTCTGATTAAGAAGAGAGGCGGAGTCCGGGTGGCGAGATTGTCTTAATGAGCTGTGCTGCCTCCATGGAAACCAGAGTGGTCTTTGTGGCCACCCACACCCCACTAGGGTCACGACCTTCCCTGCTGGCGATTAGTTCTTGCCACTGCCCTCCTATATCTTCCTGGCAGTCTGCCCGAAATACTAACAGTGTGTAAAGCAAATTACTTTCAGGTTATACTTAGCTCTTTCAAAGAAAAAGAAATTTGCCGTATGAACGAAACATCAGCAGGTAAAGAACAACGAGCTCCTAAAGCAAAAATGAAGCACTCGATTACTGCCGACCCTTGATTTTAATAAACCTTTGTGGCTGTTTAAATTGAGTTTCTCCTTTAAAAAAGAAAAACTAGCTTCAGACAAATAACTTCAGCACAAGAGTATCTGAGAATTTACACATTTCAGAAAAGTAATTTTAAGCAACCAACAGTAGAAGCAAAGTCAATAATGTTTCCATACCTGGCGCTGATATTCTTCCGTGAAGCACAGAGTCACTGGGCAGCAGGTCTTTCGAATTAGAGGTGAATGGTGATTGTCTAAATGTATCTTCTGAAAAGAAAGGGCTGGGGTGGGGGAAAGCAGAGCAAAGTTTAGTAAATCAAAGTTACTTACATTACCCAGAGCATCCGGCCCCAAAGACACACAGACACAGACACAGACACAGACACACACACACACACACACACACACACACACACACACACACACACACAAATGCAGGATAAGGTACCTTTTAAAAAAAAATGGTGTTTAGAGAATCTAAGAAGATTGTGCTTAAAATGGAGGAGAAAATATATTACATCAGACAAGTGCTGTCTGTATATTCTGTCTGTTGGTTTTATATTTAAGGTGAATATATGAAACATCACCATCTTTGAAACATTGTTAAGCACAGTCAGGACAGCTGAGCAGTAAATTTTACTCTTGTACTATATGTTCACTAAGTGTGTTGTGCCCAGATGAAGACCAACTGCCCGGATCAGGATCAGAATCACGAAGGCCTATTTGAGGTTCTTCCCAGAGGAGCGAGAGATTCGCCCTGGTTCACGCACATTCTGTCACCTGGGCGCTTAGGACCAATAGCACGCATCAGAAGGACAGCAGGCAGGCCAGAGTCAGGGGCCAGTGCACTTTAAGAGATAACTCACCGGTCCCCACAGAAACCGAGACTGCATCCTAGAACCATCTTGTTTTGGAAGGAGTTAAACCAGCTAACGGGACTCCTGAAAGGACCCTGGGGACCCATTATTTCCCATGAAACTGAGGCCCTGACTTGACTGATTCTCAGTTCCCCGAGTGGCTCAGCTAGAACTAGAAGCAGGGATGTCAGACATCCAGCCAGGGTTTTGCTCTGCAGCGAACACAAAGGATTTGGTTGCTTTTAACCAGAGTTTTCTAACCCAATTGTAGCATCCACCATCCATTCCTCTAAAGTAAACTGTAAATAAGTAATGTGATCACATGTGTGAATACTGCAGTTATCAGTACAGTCCAACCTGGAGAACGACAGCCCAATTTATTTACAACAGAGGAAATTTATTTATTTTTTTATTTGTATTTTTTTTCACTATATGAAATTTATTGTCAAATTGGTTTCCATACAACACCCAGTGCTCATCCCAAAAGATGCCCTCCTCAATACCCATCCCTCACCCTCCCCTCCCTCCCACCCCCCATCAACCCTCAGTTTGTTCTCAGTTTTTAAGAATCTCTTATGCTTTGGCTCTCTCCCACTCTAACCTTTTTTTTTTCCTTCCCCTCCCCCATGGGTTTCTGTTAAGTTTCTCAGGATCCACATAAGAGTGAAAACATATGGTATCTGTCTTTCTCTACAACAGAGGAAATTTAATGGAGGAAGTGGGTACACAGGTGGTGAAGGTCCATAGGGGCAGTAATGCAGCCCGACACAGGCTGGTGCCTCCCTGAGGCTGGAGGAACAAAAGAAGGAGGTAGACGGAGCCCAAAGTCGGGGGCCATCTGGTAGGGTCCGCACCTTGGAGGACATGCAGCTCCCGCAGAAGACGGAAAGGGAGTGGCCTTCCCTAAGCCCCTCCCCCTTCTCCCAACAGGGCGTCGGATTGGTGGAACCTTCCCACAAGCCAAGGAGAGTCAGCCTGCAGAGATCAGGTCCCCTTCGAAACTGCAAACCAGGGGGAAGCCTGGGAGGCTCAATCAGCTCGGCCTCCGACTTCGGCTCAGGCCATGATGTCTCAGTTTACGGGTTCAAGCCCCACATTGGGCTCTGTGCTGACAGCTCAAAGCCTGGAGTACACTTCGGATTCTGTCTCCTTCCTTCTGCCTCTCACCAGCTCGTGCTCTGTCTCCGCCTCCCTCTCGAAAATAATAAACATTAAAAAAAAAAAAATTGAAAACACCCCTGCAAATCAGGGGAAGGAAAAGATGTGAGGGCACACGAGACTAGGACTGCCACGACTAGTGTTGCTTTTCTAAACATGCCTCAAGGCTATGGTTACTGTCATTAAATAGCAAAAGGAAATATTAAGATAAAGACGGAAGACATACTTCTTGTAAGTACAAGAAGTAAAACATATATTAGTTCACAATTATTTGATATGACTGTCAGGCCAGATTTAATGCAACTTTGTATGGCATGCTTTTTAGTTATATCTTAAACATAAAACAATTTAAAGGGGCTTAAACAGGCTAGTAGGTGATGGGAAATGGGGAAACGTTGTTTTATGCCAAACAGCTTATAACCTGCAAGTGATACAGAATACTTGAAAGGATAAGGCGATGCTGTAAGGTGGCCAACAGCACGTGCTCAAAGGAAGGCAGCTCTGAGTTCAAATCCCAGCCTCACCACTTCGGCTGTGTGACCTTACACGTATTATCGAGCTTCTCCGAGCCTCCGTTTCTTGCCTATAAAGTGGGGTGATCACAGCATCCACACCTCACAGAGAAGCTGTCAGGACTGAATAAGATGGTCTGGAGAATATGCTTCTGTAGTGCCTGGTAAACACTAAGTGCTCAAAAAATGTGAGTTATTTTTTATTTGCATCTTTGCCTAACTCAAATAGGAGCATAAATGAGCCAACCTACAAGTTGACAGAAAGTGTAGAGTTTTCTTGTATAAAATGAACGAAGAAAAAGTCACTCTGATTTTGAAGAGTCTTTTTGACTTCTGGGTGACTAGGTTAATTTCCAACTCTTCGGTGAAGGACGCGGTTAACAATCAAAGGGCTTTTAAGGACAGAGACACCTTGGAGGATTGTTGGTCAAACCCAGAGTATTAAGATTTCTCCACTCCACCTGGGTAGTGCTGGAGCTTCCATACAAAGGTGGCAGTGCTATTCTTGTGTCTGAGCGGACAGTTCACAAGGGAGACACCAGGAGCTGGTCCCCAGGCACAGGGTTAAAGGTCAGGCAATGAGTCTGCATATTACTGTGACTCTGGAGGTAGCAATTCCCTTAAAATCTGAGAGTTCAGAGAAACCCACAAACTGTTTGGTCTGAAATGTGGAGACTTCCTCTGAGGACATCAAGAATCTCAAAAAGGGCTCCCTAATGGGTATCTCAAAATGTCACCCTTCTTGCCACAGAGACATGGTGGGTACTTCCCCCATTCCCTCGATCTGCCAGCAGCTGTCTAGTGAGTGCCTACAACGTGCCAGGCCTTGGGAACATAATGGTCAGCAAAACCAGCCATGACTCCAAATCTCAGGGAGTGCAAAGACCTGTGTGGGTACATGAAAGGGAACTGTAACGGAGTCTAACGCTGTGGAAGGGAGGGAGGTACAGTGGGGGGGAGGTTGTGGGGCTAGCCTGGCTAACTGAGTCGAGACCTGAAGGGAGGGTAGGGCTGTGGGAACATGGGGAAAGTGTCCCCTGCACAGAGAACACAGCCCATCTACAGAGCTGCTGGAAGGCGCATCGAGGAGGCTAAAGCCTGGAGAAGGAAGGCACACTGCACATAGGGATCCTGACTTTGTCCCAACAGCAGTGGGAAGTCCTGCTGTGTTTTAACAAAGCATGGGCTTCAGAACAAGGCAGGTGGCTTAGAGATGGCAGTCCACATAATGTGACACCGTGTGGTCAATGGCAAACCAAACCAGCAGTGACATGTGCAGACCGAATAATGGTTTAAGAGATAGGGCAGGTAAAGACTATAGGTACATTTATTTTTTTAAGTTTATTTATTTATTTATTTATTTATTTAGAGAGAGAGAGGTGTGCACACGAGCACGGGATGGGCAGAGAGACAGGGAGAGAGAGAGAATCCCAAGTTCGATGTGGGGCTCAAACTCATGAACCACAAGATCATGACCCGCACTAAAAAACTAAGAGTCAGATGCTTAACCTACTGAGCCACCCAGGCACCCCAAGGTACGTTTAAAACCAACCCTCAGGTTTCCAGGTGAACCAGGACGAGGCTGCCACCGTATGTGCCAGGAACAGGCTCCTAGATTTTGCTAAATACTGGAAATGGGCTACCTCTGCATTGCAGATCTCCACCGATGTGAGGAGTGAAGCCCAGTTATCACCAAGCCACTGAGAAGAAATTGAGTTGAAAGGGAGACAACCACTGAGGGAAACAACATTCCAAATAATTTTCTACCCTGGATGCAGCTTTATCCTGCACAGCACAGAAGAGGTTTCTTCTCAGGGAGAAGGAGTCATGCTGCATACTAAAAAGGCAACAAAGGACAAGCAATGTTACGGGGCAAGGACTCAATGAAGAACCCTTCACAAGCCAAGGCAGCATGAGCCTAATGTGAGGTCTTCTCTAGAAAGAGACGATATTAGGTTAACAGGGCATCAGTCTCAGGCCAAACGTGCAGCTTCAGTGCTCTGCATTGGGAGGCGTCCCCTGGAGGCCGGGAGCGCGGTGGTTTAGCACACCGTTTGCAACAATCTGAGTCTCCAGTCCGTACTGGCCATTTAATAGTTAAGTGACTTCCGGTCAACAGACTCTCTAGCCTCAGTTTCATCACTGGAAAAAGGTTTCAAAATACCTTCTTTGCAAGGGTGCTGCAAGGGTTAAGTAAGGTATTTCATGTTAATGTTCTTGGTACACAGTACATGCTCAAAAAAAGTAGCAACCGATGCATACATCGCTACTCACTGTTCTAAAGTACTTTGTGTATATTAACTTCAGGTTAGTCCTCACAAGGGCTGTACTGGTTGGCTACCGTTGTTATTATTATCCATAAGGAATGCAGAGACTGGGGCACAGAGAAAGGAAGTGATTGTCTGTGCCCGTGAGCTGAGCTCAGATTTGAATACAGGCAGGCTGGCATCCCAGTCTGCACTCTTACCCACTAAGCTACACTGCCTCCCTCCTGTGATCCCTTAACATCCAGGCAGCTCAGGGGCGGTACAGAACCGCAGATCCTCCTTGGAACGAACAGAGCAAAAGGAAGGGATACAGGAAGGAGGGCTGAAGGGGGGCTGGGAGCAGCCATTTCAGTATGCAGGATCCCAGGTAACTGAAGAAAGACTTTTTCACCTGAGAAACACAGCACGTGAAAATGATTTAGTCTTTACCTCCCTCTAGAAGTTAAGATATGCCCCAGTTTCCTAAAACTTCTGCAACCCAGAGGCC